CCAGAGCCCCACGGGGTGGGCTTTGCCTTCCTCTTCTGTAAATGGAAACAAGCGTTCTCGGCTTGCCTCTCTCATCGCCCAGTGCCATATTTCATTCTGTTGTAATCTGTTTCAGTCATATAGTTTATCCTGTTGTAATATATTTTTACTAATATACAATTAAGACAATCTGAGAAAGCTATTCTAGATTTTGAACATAATTATGAAATATGAAAAAATATAGAGGGCAGTGCATCCCCCTGATATGCTGTGTGCTGGGTTATGGTGCCTTGTTTCCAGAGGACTGCCTTCTACTAGGCCTTCAGATTGTCCCTTAGTTTGGAGTGCTACTGCTTTTTCTACCCCAAGACAGTACCCCAAGAAAGATTCCAAACTGGCAACAATAGGCCTTTGTCTCATAAAATAAAAGGGAGAGCGGGAGAGGCAGCCCCCTCACGCCTCCACCCCCAGTCCTCTAGTGCCTTCTCAGGCTAGTGAATTTCATGCCCGTGTTAGTGGTGGATCTGGAACTTGATTCCATCGGAAGTAGCCGCTATGCCCTTGCACCCCTGGAGAAACCCTCTTGAAACCCTGGTGTGCACACAGTTTGAAGACCACCAAATCCCAGCCTCTCTGAGCTGCTTTCCACCCCCCATCCAGTTGTTCTGTTCGCCAGTTGTGAGTCAAGAGCACAGGGAACCAAGCTTCCACCCAGGTTCATTAGCAAACTGATGTGAGCCTGGTGCAGGGCCTGCAGCGCAAGGCCAGCAAGGGCAGGGAGACTGCCAAGCTGGCGCACCTGGTGGGGAGGGCCTGTGCTGGCACTGAGATTCCGCTTGCCTGTGGGTTGAACAGCATGGACCAGATGGCAAGAAAAAGACTCAGCGTCCCCGACTGTCTTTTTAAAAACCATGTGAACAAAACACTTTCTCTCTCTGCATAGATCGTCATGCTCAGAAATGACATTCACCGCTGCAGGGCTTCAGGCATCTTTCTGCGCTTGGAGGGTGGAGGCCTGATCGCAGGCAACAATATTTACCACAACGCAGAGGCCGGCGTAGACATCCGGAAGAAGTCCAACCCGCTCATCCTGGTACTTTGTCTTCTTGCCCTTTTCAGGCTCACGCTTGGTTCTTTTCTGAGGATGTTTAAATAAATGTTGCTGTGTGGAATTTATATTGCTTCCTGTTTGCAGTGGTTCGTTCCTGCCCCTTTTTTGTCCCCGTGGCTCTGGGTCCCTTTCTCCATGTGTTAGGTAGGAGTGGCTTTGGGTAAGTCATTGGCCTGCGCATGTCTTGTGGGTCAGAAAGTGGATCAGAGAGAGAGAGTTCTCAGGGTCCTCCCTCAGCCCAGATACACTGTGGTTGACTTTGAGTAAAGACAGAATATCTGCCCTAAAAGACAGGGGGGTCCAAAATAAGACAAAAGAAAACGCAAAATTAGCTCTTTTCTATGGAAAGGACATTTAGGATATCTAGTTCTGATAATTCTTAGATATTGTGAGGGCACAGTTTGATTTTACACCAGCGTGAAAGCCGTGGAGGCCCAATGATAAGTAAGAAGCAAGACCAGCCCTTTATCGGCTTGACCTCCCCCAATGGACAGATTTCCCAGAAACTCAGAAGTATGAGACTTTGTGGGCTTGGAAAAAGTAATACCCACCTGTTACTCATAGTGCCTACTAGGTGCCAGGGCTAGTCTAAGCACTTTCTATGTTTACTTATGGCTTACTCCTCACACAGTCTCTAAGGTAGAATTATTATCCCCATTTTATAGGTGACGACATTGAGGCACAAAGTTGGTACTAAGATGCCCAAAGTCACAGTAATGACAGAGCTGGGGTTAGAATCCAATCCCTTATCTACTCTGAACCCCTTATATCTACACTGCTCTTGCAAATGTAGAGAACGGAAAATGCCTCCCTATGTTTAGGAGACACCTCCAGCTAGTGCCCTCTGCCAACCCCTTTCGGTGTTCCTGCCAGGCAGCTGGTGTTTGATGCTTGGCCTTGGCTTAGAAAATTATTGCTGTTGTTGCCAGAGAGATAAGTGGAATTTGGCTTCCCAGGGACAGAGGGGACAGGCCGGTTTAGCAGGTGGAGGGGGCGCTGGGGTGTTTCATTTCAGTCCTGGCTTTATCCAGGTATGGGGATGGGCATACCATGCCCACATCTCTCCTACTCTGCACTTTCCAACCCTGTAAGGGACTTCTTTGAGGCAGTGGTTGCCCTGCTGAGTGTGCCAAAACAGAAAATCTGCAAAGTGAATGATGGGAGCACTTGCAGCAGCAGACGCTTTCAAGCAAACTAGACTTTGTTTCTGTGAAATCATTCTGGAAGAGACACAGGGAGCTTCCTGGCTTATGTATGGGATTGTATTGGGCTATAATGAACAACGAGAATGAAATGGTTTTATTATAATTTACCATTTTTGTCACCATGCATAAACAACGGAGTGGGCAAGAGAAAAGCTAGGCTTGAAATCTGACTTGTCGCAAACATGCTATGTGACTCTGAATCTGTTTCTCCATTTGTATGACAAGGTATTGGACATTCTTATCCTTCGGGTCTTTACAGTCCATCTCTATGGCCTCATGCTCATGGGACATGAGGTCCTCAAACCTTTCTGCAGATCCTCCCCTGAATGAGGAGAGAGAACAGGAAGCCACATCTCTTAGGACTAAGCCCTTCTCTTTGGCCCTTGATAGCCAGGATTTCATGTACAGGGGAGGAAGGCTCCCTAAACCCTGGACAGTGTGGACTGGCCAGCTAGTTGTGTATTTGGAAGCTTTTGAGGGGCTCAGAAACCTTCAGTAGCAAGGCTTACAGATGACATGATGTCAGCCACATCCCCGTGGTGGGGCAGGGAAGACACCGATCTTCAAGTCCTCCCTGATGGGTTTCAGGGTGCGCTCCTGTGCAGGAAGGGCGGGACAGCACCACAGTCCACTTTGTCATGTGCTAGGGCCTTCCAGGGACATTGTTTTCTCTACTGCTCACTCTCACTTCTTGCAGGAATGTCTGACCCATTGTGTGATGTCTCTTGTTCACTTGCAGTGTAACCAGATCCACCACGGCCTCCGCTCTGGCATTGTTGTCCTTGGCAATGGGAAAGGCATCATCCGGAACAATCAGATCTTTTCAAACAAGGAGGCTGGCATTTATATCCTGTACCACGGAAATCCCATCGTGAGGTAGGTGCTGCTGCGCCAGACCATCCTGCTCGTCCCAGGTCCCTTCTTTCCTCTCTCATCTGTTTCCCCACTCCCTGTTTTTTTGTTTGCTTGTTTCCCTGTTTCAGAATGTGTCTTGTTTATTGTTGTTTGGAAACAACTGTAGAGATGCAAGCATTATCCCATAGCAGCAGCACTGCTTTGTTTCTGCGTTCCCTCTGGTTAAGGATAGGTGGCTGTTCTATTCAGCAAAAAGGCCCAAGCCCTTCAAATAATGAGAATGAAGGTAAACAAAGAGGCCCTGCTAACTGGGGGCTCACTCTGGCACATGTGCCCCCAAAGTAACCTAACATAGAGAAAGCATGGCGATTTCAACTCACCTGACAACTCCTGCCCTTTGATAGTGGTGCGTGGGACACTGTTTTACAGTCTGGAGGCTGCAGGTGGCCTCAGCTTGGGAGCAGCCATGACCAGTCTGTGGGCACAGGTGGGAGGGGCAGTGGGATGGAAGCGTGTACCTGCCATTCTTGCTCAGGGAGGGACAGACTGAGGGATGCCATGGAAATGGGCGGAGGGAGGGAAGTTTCTGGCTAGGGGTGGCACTGGTGTTGGGATCTGGGTGGAACTTGGACGTTTGTGGAGATGGGGGATGGACCTTCCCAACTAAGGAAATATGGACCAGGTAGCAGAGCACAGCAGGTTCGAGGTGCAGTCAGCCCGCAGTTCTTGTGGCTCAAGAAAGAGTCTGACACAGGTGCACAGTGGTAGAGAATATTTTAAATTGAGATGGTCCCTGAAAATCTTGGGCCCCGCGGATGATGTTTTACATCCCTGTGGCAGTCTGTCTCTGCCATGTAGTGTGCTGGAAAGGGGTGATGGGAAGCAAGCCTTGGGCTACCTGAGGAAGGCCTTCTGTATCCCAGCCGGGGGAGGTAGAGTTTATTCTCTTTAATGAAAGGAGATTTAAAAATTTGAGCAGAAGGTTCACTCAGTGATGTCTGCGCATCAGGAAAATAACTTGCATTTATGTGCAGCAAATATATTCTGAGGCTTTCCTTGACATTAGTCCACATTCCTTTCCCATCTTTCTAATATGGCCTTTATATTTATGACTTTGAAATGTTTCAGAACATGTGTTTTGATAGTCTTCATTTTCTTTCTTTTTTAAAAAGATTTATTTATTTATGCATACAGAACTGGGGTACAGACCAGAGGTATAGGGGCAGTGAGAGGCTTTGCCAGAAACAGAGTGGGGAGCAGAACAGGCAGACTGACAAAGTACACTGCTGAGGGGAGCAGCAGGTGGGAGAGGAGAGGGCTGCTGCTCCATGCAGATCACCTCTGGGGCCAGGTATCAAACTCGCACTGAAGCAGCTGCACCTAGATTGCAGTGCTGAACCTTTTGTGCCACCAAAGAGGTCCTCAGTTCTTAATTTTCAGAACCCATCTCTATACTGTTAGAAATTCGACTATTCACTGTTACAGACAGCTCACTAAAAGGATTTAGTGGTCACAGAGCTCTTTCCATCCTTTGCATTATTGCTTTAAGGTAACAGTATGTGTTTGTATGTATGCATGTCATTCACTTAACACTCATTTATGTGTATGTAAAAATAGAACAGTGATTTTAAAAAAATCTATAATAGCAGTTTCTACTTCATGGAGTCTTATGCTGGACACATATACCAGTAGCCACAGGGAACACTCACCAAAACGAGCACTTTACAAGTTCTCCATGCAGAATGCCAGAGGACCCCAGCCACGCTTTCAGCTGAGCATGTTAGGGAAGGACATCTGAGCTCTTCATGAAGGGTAAATAAGATTTCATGGCCTGGTAAGAGGCATTCTGGGCCCAGAAACAGTGAAATGTAAGCTGTATCTGAGAAAATGGTGATAAACACGGTATGTCTGTGTACAAGAAGTGCAGGGGAATTGAGTGAAAGACCAGCCTCCACAGGAAGATGGAGCTGGAGAACAGGGGACCTAGGCGTGAGCGTGACCGGTAAAGAGGCCCTCCACACATGTCCCTGTCCTAATCCTTAGGACCTGTGTTACCTTAGGTGACAAAAGGGGACTTTGTGATTGCGTTGAGTGGGGAAATGGTTCTGGATTGACCAGGTTTGCCAGAGTAATCACAGTGGTCATTGTAAGCAGGAGGTGGGAAGCAGAGAAAAAGAACCATGATGACAGAAGCAGGGGTCAGAGCGGTGACACCACAGGCCAAGAGAAATGGGCCACCACTGAGAGCTGGAAAAGATAAGAAACAGATTCCGCTCTCGAACTCCAGTTCCGGGTCTTTTAAGACTTTTATTTAACCTATCAGGCCCATTTGGGACTCCTGCCCTCCTAAACTGGAAAATAATAAATTTGTGTTATTTTGAGCTATAAAATTTGTGGTGATTTGTTATAGCAGCTGTAGACCATGCTAGGAAGTTGAGACTTTAAAATCAAATCAGTGTCTTGGATTCTTAAAATATAATCACTTTGAGAGAGCAGGTTGTGCTTTGACCCTTTATGTTTCTTTGTGGTAGGATGTAGGATCTGGAGGAGGGTACAGAATGAATTTCAGGATCTCTGAAGTAACCTAAATAAGGCGAACCACAGCATTTTTTTCCTTGCCAGTGAGTTATATAACCTAATCTGTCTCTAATGCTTTGGCTGCGGAGAAACACAGGCCTCCAGCTGTGCTCATCTGCAGTAAATATTCCCTCTTTGATTCATGCTACAAAGATTGGGGTCCTCATTTTCTAAATGCTTTCTGATATCTCTTTTATCTTTATTCTGCTCTCCCTGTATACATATGTTTAATCAAGTGGCCATGGACCTTTTGTGGGGTAAGTTAGATTTGTATTAAAATACACCAGTCTGGGCCCTCCCTGGTGACGCAGCGGGTTAAAGCACAGCACTGAGAATCTAAAGCCGATTCCGCATGAGTTCGATTCCTGCCTTTCCCAGAGGTGACCACATGGTGTGGCAGACCTCTCCTGACCCGCCCACTGCACCCCTCAGCAGTGGTACTGTTTTTCCCCCAAGAAAGTAAACCTTTTGGGCCCTGCCCCAGGGAACCAGAAAATAAAGTCAACCAACTCCTGCTTAGTGATGTTCTATGGGGTGTCAGGCCCTGTGGACTCTGAAGGGCCAGATGAACACTTATGCCCATATCTCTCAGTGACGTGATGGGAAGTAGGAGCACCACCTCCTGAGAAAGGGGAAAGGCCCTCCCAGTGGCCAAGAGGAGCACAGCATTCCTGTTATTCAAAATAACAAACCTCAGATGTATGTTCTCTAAGATAATCTGGTGCGTCGAAGGTCCTAGACTAGCTTTGTTTTTCCAAACAGTGAACCACCACTCGGGCATCTGGTTCTGAGTCTCATTCACCAGGGCCTCCCATGGTAATAAAGGCATTTCTCTAGCGTTTCCTCTCCCCACTGTGGGATGCCCATCCCAGGAGGTTTCTCATTCATGTTGTCTGGTGTCCTTGAAACTCCCTTTCTGAAATCTGGTCTTCTTCTTTTAAGGCATGTCATTATTTCACGTCATTCAAACACACAGGTGATTTAACAGAAAATAGAGTAGCTGTCAGATACAAACAGAAGGTGGTAGTCTCATGACAGAGTCTGACCCAGGCTTAGACACAGGCCACTCCCAGGCAGATCTAACAGTCTCCCTGGACTTCTTCTCACTGCCAAGACTTTCCCTGGGACCTGTGCACATGCTGGCATCCTCTAATAAAGGTGTTTATATGTGGGAGACTATCAGGAGTCCACAGAGACCTGGATGTTGTTAGGCTCACTTGCACAGTTGTGGGTTGAGTTGTGTCTGAATAATAATTGAAGGCTTCTTGCTGCCAGACTTCTAGGGCTTCAGGAAGTGCTGTATGCCCCGTGGACTTGAGCAGCTGGGGCAGCTCACAGAAGGTATTCACCTTGGATGGGCATTGTCTGAAGCATGACTGACCTGGTCTCATCCCTTTGTCTTGTTCTTCCATTTTAGTGGGAACCACATTTTCAAGGGCCGCGCAGCTGGCATAGCAGTGAATGAGAATGGCAAAGGCCTCATCACAGGTAGGGGTGGGAACTACCTGGAGCTGTGACTAGTCCAGCAGCCAAGTCAGCATCTTGGCTTCAACACTGCCCAGTCCTCCCCTTGTACAGATGGGTCCCCTTCTTTTGATATGGGCTAGGACTTGGGGCTTCATACACTGGCCATGCTAATCACACAGAGGGCCTGGGAGGGCAGGAATGTCTGCTCTCTACCAGACTGGTGCTTACAGGAGCACACTGGGTGGCTTATATAGCATTGTCAAAACATGCCATACAAAGTGACTGAATACCCGTTCCTGGCTCTTTACATGTGCCTGCCTGCTCTAGAAAGCCACCCCAACCCCCTCTGCCCCACCGGCTTCTCATTCTTTGGATTTCAGCTTAAGTGTCACTTCCTTAGGGAAGCCTGCCCTGACCCCTCATTCCACACACACACTCACTATGTCTAGAAGGCATAGTGGGACATTTTACTTCACAGTGATCTGTTTAATGTCAGTCTCCTTTGCTGTTGAGTAGTAAATTCTGTGTGGCAAGGATCAGGTGTGTGTGGTACATCGATTTAACCTCATCATAGAGAACAGCCATACCTAAGACACAGAAGTGATTTGGTGACTAGTAGGCCGCCCTTGACTGAGTGCAGTCTTCTTCATTCCTCAGACATTTATTGAGCACATGTTGTATGCAGGAGCCAGGGACACAAAAGTGAACAAAGCAGATGCCAGCCCTTCTCCCAGGAACTGACATTTTAGCAGGGAAAGCAAAGCACTAACTAAAGTACACCTGCACAAGCAAGAGCAGTCAGCCTGAGAGTGGCGAGTGTCTACAGATGGTGATCGGGTCACTGCAGGCGACTGTGTGGTCAGGGCAGACTTTCCTGAGAAGGTGACATGCAAGTGAGGAACCGAATGATGGAAGGAGCCTCAGAGAGGCTGAATTCCACAGCAGGCTGCCTGTGGGCAGAGACCCTACATGTTTAGGGAGCAGAGATACCTGTCACTCGTGTGATTGGGGTTCAGTGAGCAAGGGTGAGGTGTCTGAGATGGGGTCACAGACAGGACAGGACAGGACTGGTGACAGGGTCTCTCAGCCCTTGCTTTCTGCCCTCCCTGGTGCCGGGGCAGCACTGTCCCAGGATCAGCCCTCTGACTAGTGGCTCTTCAGCCCACTCCTGGAGAGCTGAGGGAGTGGAGAGGGACCACGCGATCAGGGCCCAGAGCTGAGGCTGAGCAGACTGGCTGGCGCCTTGCAGGCTTGTGCCAGGCTGGCTGGAATCCACCTGAGCCCTCCTGGAATCAGCCCCAAGGGCGGACATCCCCTGCCTGGCCATGGTCCAGGCACTCTAAAGCCAGTTTATTCTTGGTCATCAGTCCTCAAGACCATGGGGCCACGGGGTACAGTGAGTAACAGGATATAGGAGAGCACGAGACACACACAAGCCTTGTCCTGGAGGAAAGGGCAGAAGACAGGCCCTCAAAATGTCAGTGGCCACAGTAGATTTGGGGTAGCTGACTGAAGACAGGGTCAGTCCTAGGCATCCTGACCAAAGAGTCCTTTCTCACCTGTCCAAGTCATTGTTGCCAGCACAGAGGTAGCCCTTGGATATCAACCTCTCTTCTGCCTCCACAGAGAACGTCATCCGTGAGAATCAGTGGGGAGGTGTGGACATCCGCCGTGGAGGCATTCCCGTCCTCAGGAGCAACCTTATCTGCTTCGGCTATTCGGATGGTGTGGTCGTGGGGGATGAAGGCAAAGGACTGATAGAAGGAAACACCATCTATGGTGAGGAGCACATCCAGGGAAGAGAGGCTTGGGATCCAGAGCCACCGGGGAGGCAGGGAGCCCAGGTTCCATCTCCAGCTTGTGGGGCCTGGGAAAATCACTGCCTTTCCCTGGGCCTCCAAGACCTCATCTGAAGAACAGAATGGACCAGACCCCATGAGCTCAGCCAAAAGCTTTATCCCCACCTGAAATAGCTAAAGGCAGAAGTTGGATTTAAGCTCTGGCATCAGCATCTAACTCCTCTCATCCTTTCTTTTGATCCAGAGAACTGAAAAATATCATGGGGAAAACAGAATAATCAGAGAGGAAACTGTTCTCAGTCATTTTGGGACTGTGGAGCAAACCTTAATCTTTCTGAACTGTATCTAATCATGAGATAATAGGATGACATATGTATTCAGCCCTGACGCTCTGCTAGGCCCTGTGTGTGCATCATTGCACTTACTCATGGCTGCTTTCTGAGTTGGTACCGCTGTTAACCGTGTTTCAAAGATGAGGGAAGCACAGTGCAGATTCGCCCCCTGCTCAGGGTCGCAGAGTTAGAGCACGGTAGGGTTGGGCTTTCGACTGAGGCCACCTCTGTTTGTGCCAGGAGAGATCGGACCCCTCTGGACTGTCACGATGGGCCCTCACGCTTCTGACCTGAAAGTGTGGCCCTGACAGTCCAGAGCACTGTCACACTGGACTGATGCTGGCACGGCTGAGCTGGCTGCTGCTGCCCTCTTGTGCGAGAAGCCTGCACCCAGAGCCCCCAAGTAACTTGTCCAAGGCCAATAGCAAATCAGGGACAGTCTTCTAGACTGATGTGTTTTTTGTTTCTCCACTTGGGGAGACACTGGGTGCTTCCTCACCCATTACTCAAGGTGATAACTAGATCCTTTCATTGTGCCAGCTAATAAGGGCTGTGGTGTGTGGATGATGTCGTCCAGCCTGCCCCATGTCACCAGCAACCATGTCAGCTACAATGGCCTATATGGAGTGGCAGTGTTTAGCCAGAAGGATGGCTCCAGGGAGTTCCCTGGAGGCCATGGGGCCCAGGAGAACTTCAGCGAGGACGGCGATGCTATTCTCTGGGAGACAGAGCTGGAGAAGGATGATGACCCACTGCGCCGTCCAGTCACCATCGCCCTGGTTGAGTCTAACAGTATTAACCACAATGGAGGTGAGTGCCTCATTCCCCTCAGGGCCTCTGTGCACTCTCACTGCCTTGTGGGCCCTTCACAGCCCCATCAGCACTGACCTGATACCCCAGCACCTTGGCTGTATGTTCCCTGAATGTGACTACATTCTTTCTTGACCGCTCAAGTTCTGCCTGAAATTCCTGATCTCCCCTCCAGATGTCCCAAACAACATGACCACCTCAAAGCCCCTTGGCACCCTCCATCCTTTCCTCCTTTCAACTGTGCGGTCTCTGCATCCTCAGTGGTTACAGGGTCTGAGACGGTTATTTTGTGGGCATTTCATCAACTCTGATTGGCTGTGAACTTGAGGGAAGGGACTCATTTATAAGCGATTTCTGAGGCATGTTTTTCCCACTTTAACATTTCTGATGACCTGTCTTGTAGTGGCATGTGATAGTTTAATTGGCAATGGTTTTGTACTGGATTATGATTTAAATTCATATTTGATGTTTATTAAATTGAAAAAAAAATGATTGTGGAGTTTATCTCCAGAGCCCCCAAACTTGGCTGGCTACCAGAATCAGTAGGGGGCTGGTGGAGGAAGGCCTGGGAAGTGGAGCTCATTTGTCTGGGAGTGGCAGGGGACAGAGGTGACCAGCAGCTCCGGCCCACTTGTCTGGAGCTGGGGTCTGTCCCCTCCCAGCGCAAGGTTCCCTCCACAGAGCCATGCTGTCTGCCAGGCTGGGCACAGCTGCAGGTGCCATGCAGAGGTTTGAACTTACAGACTGGAGGCTTAAGCCGCTCCCAGAGAGACCCAGGCATCCCACAGCCTCTTCCCAACTCCAGGCCCTACTGTGCTTTCCCGACCATGTCCTGGGGCTCTAAGGCTGCTGATTTTGTGCTTTTTCCCTATAAACATGTCTCTACACATACACAACCCCAACATAATTCTCTTCCCAAAATTTCTAACACATTTTAGGTACATGTTACTTAGCTTAATGAACTTTTCTACTCAAAAAGTACAGATTTCTCTTACGAAGAAAATGTCTCAAAACAGCAGGGAGGCAGGTTCTACCCTATTGTGGGAAGGAATACAAAAGCTCTCTCTCTCTGGCCAGTTGGTCCTCTGTGTAGTGTGAGTGGGCAGCCGCAGGCTGGTGGCTTGCCATAGGGAGCTGGTGCTGCAGGAGGCGTTGACACAGACAGCGCGTGCGCCAGGTGTGCAGCTGAGCTGGGTAGGCCCCTCTCATCGCGTTTCCCTGCTCCCCTTGTTATCCAGCTTGGAGGATGCAGTTCCTGTGGGCTGGCTCTGATTGGTGCTGCCTCTTCTCCCACACCTCTTTCCTGGACTGAAGAGTTCCAGGAAGGCTTTCCTGACCACCTTGTGCTCTCTCTGCTCCCACCTGTAGCCTCAGGACTCTATGTCCAGAGCAGTGAGGCGCTGCACGTCATCACCAACGTGATCCACGCTAATGGGGACAGAGGCATCACTGTGGCTCAGAGCAGCCAGCTCACCCGTGTGGCCAGCAACAGCATCTCCTGCAACCGCCAAAGCGGGGTCAAGGTCGAGGCCCAGTGCAAGGTGGAGCTCCGGGGCAACGGTATCTATGACAACAGAGGCCATGGTGTCATCACTAAGGGTGACAGCATAGTTGTGATCGAAAACGACATCATCGGCAACCGGGGCAGTGGGCTGCAGCTGCTGCCCAGGTCTGACACTAAGGTGTGTGTGCGCGTGGGTGTTTCCCGGGAGAGCCCACACACCCTCTGCGCTGAGAAGCCGGGCTTTAAGCACTCGGGCTGCAAGGGATACCATTCCTCCTGCCACATGCAACCTGGGAGATGCAGGCGGGGCTTCACACAGGAGGAGCACCTGCCTGGGTCCTGAAGGATAGGGGAGTTGCCACCTGGGATAGTTCTGTGGTCTCCAGGTCAAGGCTGTTTCAAGCTCCTTCCCCTAACAGAATAACCCTGTGGGGGAGCTGGTATGCAGTAAGTGCTTAATGAGAGAAGCCTTACTTTGGGGCCGTTACACACCCTACCTCCTCTATACCCCGAAAGACCCATCTCCCCTGTTTTCTATTGGGTTGTCAGAAAAATGTGTCATGACTTTTCCGACGACCCAATACTTTGGTCCAACAGCTTGACTGTCATTTCTGTAAGCCCCTCCTGACCACCTGCCACCCCAGGGTTTGAGATCACGTCTACCCCGGTCACAGAGCACTTCCCACAGCGCTCTATTTGATCCCCTGCTTGTCACCCCGTTAGGGCACTAAGCATTGAGCTCCATTTTTATGCAAAGCACTGTGCTGGGTGCTAGGGTTCAGATGAACTAAACAGACCCACCCCCACCCCCACCCTTGTCATGCGGTGATCCCTGAGCCTCGCTTTGGTTCCGTGGCTTCATAAGTCGGTAATTTAGGCAAGAAGTAAAGAATTCCTTGACTCTGCATCTGAGCACTATGGGAGCAGAAAGGGGAGGCAGGAGCATGCTGTCGCCTCAGTTGCGTTGCCACTGGCCCTGGCTTCTGACACCAGCTCCCCTCATTGCCAGGGCTTTGCACGCAGTTCCTTCTTCCCAGAACAACTCTCTCCCTCTGCACCTGATAAACTCCTGCTGCTTACCCTGTCACCTTCTGATTGCCCTCTCAAACCCCCCGCTGGCCTCAGTAGCCCTTCCTTGGGCTCCCATGGATCACTGCTGTTTTCTACCGTTCAGTTTTCTAACTAGAGATTCACTTGTCTGGCTCCTCCAAGGCTGGGAATCTCTGAGACGTGACAAGCTCTGACTACCTCTCCTAGGTCATAAAGAACCGGATCCATTCATTCCGGGCTTATGGCATCGCAGTGCGGGGCCGTGCCAAGGCCCTGGTACAGGAGAACATCATCTTCCAGGGCAAGACCAGTAAGACCATCTTTCAGCAGATCTCAAACAACCGAGACTGCATCATGCAAAACAACAAGTTCTTGGTCTTCAAGAAAAAGTAAGTATTGTTAGTGCTTAAACCAAACTTCTAGAACTGTGAGTCACAGACCCAGTGACTGCAGCTATGCCTGTTTCCAGCAGCCCTGCCAGTCTTGGACTCTGATCAGATAAAGCCCTGGGCTGAGGAGCTGTGCCTGCCTACATGGGAGGGAAGGGGCTTTGAATCAGAATTATGATCAGCTCTGCCAGTTACTATGTGACCTTGGGCAAGTAACTCAACATCTCTGAGCCTTAGTAAAATCTAGTCACTTATATTGGAGCACCAAGATAAAAGAAGACCGTGTACTTATAACAGGATGAGGTATCACAAAATGTTCATTGCTGCCACTACTGTTGCACACACCTTCCCTAAAACCTCTGCTCCCATTCTGATAGCATCACTATTCATTCTGTTCTGGCAGCAAAACCTTTGACTCCTCCACCTTCAGCCCTTTACCAGGTCCTCTTGATTTGCTTCTGAAATGTTCCTGTATCTGGCATTTCTTCTCCCCAGCTGCCACCACCCTAGTTCAGGTCTCAGTATCAGATCACCCCCACCCACCCCTACCACACCCCCCAAAGGAGTGGCTAATCCTTTGCTAAACTCAGTTATAAAAAATAATTATAATTTTCACTGTTGGTATTTCTCCTGATCTGTGCCCGCAGCCTCTTACCTGATCTCCCTGACTATAGACTACCCTTTACCCTCTGCTCCACCTCCCCTAGATACATATAAGACATTGTTGCTGACCTAAGCAACTTAGGATCTTGTGTATGAGGAAGGCGATTCCTTTTAACTCAAACAGCAAGCCTTGACCAAAGGTTCTCTATCATTGGTTTTCCCTGACCCTTTAAGAGCCAGAGGACCTAGAAAGCCACCAATTCAGTCCCCTGTAGATATGCGTATTCCAGTCTGCCCTATAAAAAAAAGCTCTTACAGAATGTAGTCTCTTTAAGTCTGGCTTCTTTCCCTTAGCCTGCTGCTAAAAGACCTGAGTTTCACCCATGGCGTTCATGTTGTTCTTTTTTTAAAGATTTTATTGATTTATGCATATAAGAGCTGGGGTATAGGCCAAAGGTGTGGGGGTGGGTAAGAGGATTCACCAGAGACAGAGTGGGGAGCAGAACAGGCAGATCTACTGAGATAAACTGCTGAGGGCAGCAGCTGATGAGACAGGAGAGGTCTGCTGCGCCATGTGGGTCACCTCCCACATGATTGAACTGATATGGCAGTGGCTGCTGCTTAGCTTCAGCTTAGCTGTCTCTGGTGAACAGCTCTTATATGCATAAATCAATAAAATCTTTAAAAAAAGAACAACATGAACGCCATGGGTGAAACTCAGGTCCTTTAGCAGCAGGCTAAGGGAAAGAAGCCAGACGTAAGCCCTAGGACTTAACTCCTCACTCGTGCGTCACCCAGCATGCCTTCTCTCCATCTACTGAAGAGTGGTATCCACTACATGGAGGTACCAGTTTTATCAGTTTATGAGCTGAAGGACACTTCAGCAGTTTTGGGTGATTATCAGTAATAAAGTTTATGTAAACATTCCTGGTCATACTGCCTAGAAAATGAAAGAAAAAAAAATTAGCCTTTTACCTTATCTACATCTTTATTTAAAGATGAGAAAATTGAGGCCCACAGAAGGAACTTGTCCAGGGTTCATGCCGAATTGAAGGCAGGCTGGAACTAGCAAATGGAGCATCCCCCTTGGTTTCCCAGGTCCCCTTCCTTGGGCCCCCAATGACTTAAGAGACAGGCAACACTAAGATCTAATTAACACCTGGATCCTGTGGTCGAGTCAAAGGTGACATCGTACAGGACATTCAGCAAGTGCTCTGGACCGTGGGACTTCATCGACTATGCTTTTGTATTTCCAGGTCTGATACGTGGCGCCTGGTGAACCCACCGGCACGGCCTCACCTTGAAAACTCTCTCCGAGGCCCCTCTGCAGCTCACAGTGGGCAGAAGGGGACAGCCATGGCCACCAGGATTACGGCCCGCGTGGAAGGGGGTTACCACAGCAACCGTAGCATTTTCTGCACCATCCTATAAGGATGGGGGCACCTTGGAATGGGCTAATGGGGTGGGGGTGGGGGACACATTGTCCAAAGACTTTAGAGCAGTGGCCACACACACTGCTCTCAGGCTTGGCCCTGATGGGGGCTCAGCCATGCCAAGAGGTGAGACTTGTGCGATGCTCAAAGCAGTACCTGCCACGGTGCCAGGCCTCTTCATCCTTACTCACTACCCCCTGAGAAAACAGGCTCTCAGGCTCCTGGGAACTAGTGCAAACCTCCCACACCCTTCCACTCCTTAACTGCCTCAGTGGGAAGGAACTTGGAAGTGATTTTCAAGTAGAAAAAGGAACAAGAATGGCAGGTTTCCAGTCACTCAAGACTCTTGTGGAGTGAGTTGGGGAAATGGACACTGAAAGCTGTTCGGCCAGGGTTTTCTGTCTGAGTTATAGGGAACTGCACTTTACACACACCAAACTCAGACTCTTCTCAGGAAAGAGTAGATTTACTCCTGAAGGAGGGCAGGAATTCCAGAGAGGTGGGAGGAGTCACTGCTCCAGAATTTTCCCTTTCCTAGACCAGCCTGTGGAGGGCGAGGCGGCGAGTTTGGCTTCCTTGGGGACACAGTTCTTAGACTTGAACACAAATGTATCTGGAAGAAAGGACCTTGGGAAGGAAGCCCCTTTTTAAAGGCTGCCCAGGGATGATAAGGGGCTTGCTGGAAAGGGGCCTGTGGAGAAAGCTTCCTTCAAGCAGCCCTGCCGTGCAGACAGATGGGCCTGGGTACTGTGGGGATGAGTGGGACTCCACTACCCTCCTCAAATCCCTGAACTCAGGAGGACATTAGCTCCGCACCTGCCACGCAGGGATTGTTCCCCTAAGCACACCCCCACCAGATGTCCCTCCTGGGCACCTGACTGCTAGAGACGGAAGTGCCTCGGGCCCCACCATGTTCTCATGAACGACCATCGGCCTTCACTGACCCCACCGTGACTCCCCACACTGTGCCTTGGCTCGTGCTCTCCCTCTTCCCGGCATGCCTTCTCTCCATCTGCGTCCCAATCCCACCCCTCTTCAAGGTTCAGCTCAGACACTGCCTTGTTTACCAAGCACTCCCCACCCTCCAGGTAACAGTGCTCGCCCCCCTCTGAGCCTCTCTGCCCCCTCCTCTCAGGTACTGAGCACTTTCTGCCTTGCTTTGGATTCTCCAGGTCCATTTCTGTCCCACTCACCTGCCCGGGAGCACTCAGGGTGGGGCCACGTCTCACTGCCCGTACCCCACTGCTGGGACTTCAGTAAGGCTGGTAGCCGAGTGAGGAGAGGAAGGCCGGTTCCCAAAGGGCTTTACTGACTCCTACTGTGAATGTGTCAAGCTTCCAGAGCCAGGCAGGCTCAGGCCCCAACTGCTTGAAGAAGGGGGCTGGGCTGGATGCAGGATTGCTCAGCCTGAACACTCTCCTTCCCACTCGGCCTTTCATGTGGGGCTCTCGCCAGCCTGTTGTGGTCACTGCACTTGGCAGTGGCTTCCCAGGCTGGTTCTGCCAAGGCCCCTGGTGCTGCTCTGCCTGGTGGGGTGGGAGGGGGCTAGAGGGACCCGGGAGTTCTCCCTGAGGACTCTGGCACAAGAGTGCAGGCCCCCCGTCCCTGGCGATGTCCTTTGCACTTATCTGGTGGCCTCAATGTGAGTCGCTGTACAAAATGCTGCCTTTATAATTTTGTAAGAAATAACTTTTCTGTGAACAAAGTGCTTATGAAAATCTCAGCAACCAAAATAAAGTGGTGTATTTTAAAAGTGCCTTGGGGAGGACTTTCCTTCGTCTGGGCACAGGCTGGAGTTCGGAGGTGGCTGGGTGCTGGACAGGCACTGCTGGCAGAGGCATTCCCACGGCCCCACTGCTGCAGTGGGGCAGGACAGCACAGAGTGCCAGGCAGTTAGCCACACTGGTACAGTAGGGTGAACGTTAGTCCATAGCTCTTTCAGATCTCCTCAATTACTACTGAATGTTTTTTTTCCACCAACAATCTTATTACAAGAATACTTTATTGAACTAAAATATTTGCACCACTGCCGTATTAAATGAAGATATTCACCAACTGTGACAATTACTTCACATTTTTACTGTCCTCACTAAGAATTACGTACTCCTATCCCACTCATCCAGATCCCATAAAATGTGACTTGACTTAGCCAATGAATGTGCACAGAAGCAGTTTCTGTGGCACTGCTGCACAGAAGCTTAAGAGCCAAACCCACCCACAGAACTTATTCCATCTGTTTTTCTTTCACTGAGCCAAAAGAAATCTCCCTGGCTAAATGCTACCCACACCCAGGACCTTTCTCCATCATCACATCTGTGGAACTCCTTCCCTGCTTTTCATTGTGCTGAGTCCCTACGAGCTCATACCCAACTCCACCAGCCGAGGGCAGAGTCCTCTGCACCGAGTGTTGATTGCCTGATGGCCCTCCTACGCCCTCCTGTGGCGCCACGCCCTGTGTCCCTATGCCCAGCACAAAGCTTGCCCCTCCTCTGCTACAGACCAGCCACTGTCAGCTGAGGCTGCTCCCATCAGCCTGGATTCCTATGAGAAGCTGACATGTGTCTTGATGTTTGGGCCATGTGTGCTGATCGGCAGGTGGGTAGAACAGTTGAGTATTGCAAGTGGGACGCACTCACATTCCAGCGTCAAGTCAGCAGTCCCATGAATCCAAGCAGCAGCTGTGGGGTAGAAGAGGCTCCTGACGCCTGCAAACAGCCACTCCAGAGGTGGCAACCTCACCCCACTCCTGCAACCCTTCAACATTCTACCCATCTATTAAGCTCCTTTTCTGAGATCTGTAACAGTAGAGTTCTGCACTAAACTGTGACTGATTCCTCCACCCTAAAAAGTGTGGCTTTCACAACCTATCCCTATGTGGCCAGAGGCCGGCACAGCACCTGAGAAGCGCCTCCTGCCTGCTGGCAGGCTCCAACTAGATCAGCCTGTTTCGGCCATCTCACTGATGAGCTGCAGTCTCCTCTCTCTGGACTCCACTGATCTTTCCAGACCTAAGCACAGCACCTTACAGTTCTCTTTATTAATCTTCATCCATGAGAGGTGGCCCAGGCTCCAGCCTAGTGAGATCTTTTGCCAAAACCCCACCCCCCCCACACCCCCACGTGTGAACCAACACCAGGAACATTGTGGAGGAGAAAGTCCATGGTGGCGGTCACATTCTGTCTGCTTGAGACCAGCATGACAGACGCTGGCTTTTGACTTCATGCCTGTGCCCAAACAGGGCTTCTTCCTTTGTCTTGTTTTAAGAATGAAACTGGAAATGAACAGAACGAGCACTGCAATGTGGCCAAATGACCAGTCTGGAAAGCACACCTCTAGGTAATCTTCCTCCGCTTTGCCTGGCGATCTGCATTCTGGGCCGGAGGCAGCGGGATGTGCAGCGTGCCCAGCTTGTGATCCTCCTCCCTGCCGTCGGCCAGAGTCACCTTTTTTTTGGAGATCCTGAGCCTCATGGCTTTTGCTATCTCCATCATCCTAAGGAGAAATTACACAAAGATGGAGTCTCCACAATGTGCCTGCTTAGGGAGGTCTGACAGGGGCCCAGGAAGACAGAACCTGAAGCAAAGCCCCCAACAGAAAGGCAGACGGGGCCCCTGGCTCCCACCCTGCACCAGATGATTTCATCTCAACGGGCTGTCACCAGAAAATGTCTATATAAGAAAAGGAAACATACGTAGATCCTGTTAATAATGCCGTACACTTTTATAACCTAGATTGAGCATTTGTTCAAATTCTACAGGCTCCAAGTATGTTTCTTTTCTTTTTATCCTCACTGCCTGTGAGACTAGCCCTCCGAATAATACCTCCAAGGACTGCGAAGATTCCCAATAAGGGTGTTTCCAGTTTCTCAGGGTCCTTGGATATCAGATACCCTCAAACCACCACCACTAAGGAAATGAAGAAGTCCCGCCCCTACAGTCTGAACCCCTTACAACAAGCCAAAAGGGCCTGAAAGCCGAGTCTGGTCAGAGAAGCTGGGAAGGCACAGCCCTGCCAACAGCAGCCCCATCTTGTCTTAAATACGTCCTAACTGTCCCGTCTAGCCCCGAAAAAGCCTTTTTTTGCCATGCTGAAATGGGGTTTTCTTATAACTCCACCCCCTGGTTCCATCATCACTCAGGAGCATGAGTTTTCCTCTTCCCTTGAAGAGCGTACAGACTGCAGACTGCTTGGTTAACAAGAACAGATGCAATGGGAAGGCTTTGGGGTGAAGCCCAGGTATCCCACTCCCTGACTGTGAAGTACTGCAAAGGACTTCTCTGAAACTAAGATTCTTCAACTGTCTTTTAGAGAAATCACTGAAATGTTCTGTTAATAGACTGAACACCATCCCTTGTTCAGAAAAGGCAACGGAGTATGTGGGTGCTCATCCAATAATTCACTCACTGAAAACTGGCATCTGTGCCCCCGTCTTCCCCATACTCAACATCCCCAGTTCCCTTGAAGGTGCCTCAAGCTTCGCAGTGGTCCGGGGAACACATCAAGGCAGCACGGGGTGCTTGGCTCTGGCAGGCTCAGACTCACCTCCTCTCACTGAGCTTCAAGTCCCTCTGCAACACTGTCAGGTCAATCTGGAAGTCATGTATGTGCAAGGCGAGTATGATCACATACGCAGTGATCTTTGCCTTCATAGAATCCGAAATGAAGTTCCGTAAACTGCAAAATTGGTAGCAGCAAAGGAGAGACAACGTTAAACTCCAGGATGATTTCTCCAAAGTTAGAATAAAAACAGTCAAGTTTGCCGCCCTGCCTGCTCCCTGTTTTCCCATCCTGGAGAAAGGAAAAGATATTCAAGCAACACCTCTGTCCTCTAAGGAGCACGAGCCTTCACACAGAGCAGCAGTGAGCCAATCCCAGTGTTTCCTCAAGGGGGAGAGAAAGCCGCAGCCACGCTCTCCCCAGGCACAGTTAGTGCCTCACAAGAGAGGCCCTTCCTCAGTGTGGCTGCCGTGAAGTCATCCCAAACCCAGCTGCCTGTAAATCTGCCAAGCCCGCTCCGAGCAGCAGACACGTCCCAGGTAAACAGCAGGAAGAAAGCCCAGAAGTGGTTTGGTCTTCTCTCCCCCGTCATCGGGCGGGCAACAGTGTGCTTCCATAGAACACTGAACACTAGTTCTCTGGGACATCAAGGAGGGCTGCCAGAGGTGTCAAGGGAAGTCTGTGGCAGGACATGCCGGCGCCTCTGGGTGACTTCGTCAAAGGGGACAGGGTACAGTGCTCCCTGAACTTACTCAACCCCAGAGCCCCTCCAAATGCAGTGCTCTCTTCAGCACAGCATCTCTGTGACTACAGAAAAAAATCCAAACCCTCCTCACCATGCTCACCCTCCCTACCTGCCTTCACCTATATAAGCAGAACCCCAAAATCAACCCTACTGACCTGCCGTTTTTGTAAGTCAAGCAGGTAAAGTGCTTCAGCAGTTTGGTGTTGATGATGTGTGGGACTCCAGGCCCCAGAGCACCTAAGATACAAAGATGAATTTAAACATTTTCTTGCAAAACCCTAGGACCACATGCCTCATCCATGTGTGGGGAGAAGGCAACAGCTGAGGCACTATAATGAACAGAACCATGTGGTCAGAGAAGCAGGGCCCAGCAGACCAGCCACGCTGCAGTGAAAATCCACTCAGGTGTGCTTCAGCCTGCAGACCATATGCAGCTGGAGAGAGCTGCAGTGTGGTGGTGACAAGAAAGACAAGGAACTGACTCCACAAAGGATTAAACACACACACACTATATATATATACACACACACACACATATATTTAAAAAAAATTTTTTTTTAAAGTTCAGAAGTAACAGCACCAAAGTGGACAGTCTCTAAAAGTATAGGAAGACTTGCTACCATTATTATTTCATCACAAGTAAGTCACTGGCAGACAATATTGAGCAATATTGTAGGTGCTGTACCTTATTTTTTTTTTTTTACCATCGTAATAATTATTAAAATGTTTTTGTATCAACCAATAAAAGTATAGTAAAATCTTATTTGAAAGAATACAGGATTCCAGATTAAAAAAAAGGAGGGGGGCTCTCCCCAGTGGCGCAACGGGTTAAAGCACCGCATTATGAAGCCACTGCAGCATGAGTTCAATCCCCAGCCAGGGAGCTGACCCACATGGCCTGGCAGACCTCTTCTGACCCGCCCGCTGCTCCCTTCAGCAGTGTACTTCGTTGATCTTCTGCCTGTTTTGTTCCCCACTCTGTCTCTGGTGAATCCTCTCACCCACCACACCTCTGGCCTGTACCCCAGTTCTGCAAGTATAAATAAATAAATCTTAAAAAAAAAAAAAGAATACAAAACCGCTATAGAGAAAGTCCAAGGAGAGAAAGGAGACTAGAATGTGAAAATAAGAATTAAGCAAATACTGAAAAACATGAAGAGACTGTGGGTACCCAACCACTGCAATGACTGCACTCACCCAGCCCTAAAACTGCAGGTGCCCCCTGCTGGGCATCCACCTCTGTGTACATGAGGGCAGCAGCTGCTCTCAGCCCCAGCTACAGCTGAGCATGGGGTGGGCAACTGAACACTCCATGAAGACATGAAGTTCATGTCTCCTCTCCCGGGCAGATATGATCTGGCACAACACAGAAACAACCTATCCCAAGCTTTTGTGAGCAAGGCCAAAGTTTCTCGCTGTGTGACTAATGTTTACCTAACATGCTCCCCAATTGTACCTGTCTGGCTGGGAGCAAATCCTACCTACTGCAGAACAGAGGTAATGAATGTCAGCCCTGAACCATCGTGTCATCCAACCCCTCCCTCTTCTCAGATGGGGAAGAGCTGGGAGTCCTCTACGCCCATAGTAGTGCCAGCAGGAACCTTGCCATTACAGGTGAAAATAAAGACCTGGGCCAACATACCCATTTCCTCCTCTCATCAGAGTTGGTCTAAAACTACAAATAAGGAACTAGAAAAAACTGTGGACTTACTTTTCCGCTTAATTACTTTCTGTGCTCGAAACTTGATGAGGGTGTCCAGAAACCACAGGCACCGGGCCTGGCGGTCTCGGCGCTCCTCGTCGGGTGGCAAAGATTTCAGCGCTTCTATGACAAAGCAGCAGTGGCTAAAACAAGGAAGGAACGGGGTGAATGTATCTGGTAAAGAATAGCTCTGTCAGGAGCCAGCACACCTCATGGCTGACACACACTTGGCAGCTGAGCAAGAGTCTGCCGCCAGAGAAGGACAACGTGGGTTTGTGCAGGGGTGGTAAAGGACTTGAGGAGGAGGAAGGAAAATAATGATTTAAAACACATGATACGTAAAATATGTTTAACTTCAGAAAAAGCTCGCCCAGTATGTGATCACAGACAAATGACCACTTCAGCAGGCACCTCCTCCCAGACTAGCACTCCTGTCCCGCCTGTGACAACCAAACATCAGCGTGATACTGGGGGACTCCAGTGTCTGGCCCCAGATCACAAGGCCTCACCACCCCCTGCCCAGTCACAGGGTCCACGCACTCAGAGGCCAACTCTGTCCCTTGAATGCCACATGGCCTTGGGACAACAGGCCCAGAAGCCCAAACGTTCAAGACAACACCAGCTCATTGCGCTCAGGTGCCAAAAGACCTGTGTCCTCTCCAACTGAGACCTATGTCCACTCTTGACTATTGCTGTGGCCCACTGGCTCCCCCAGACACTCCACTGATCCAAGTGGGGTACCTGTTCTCCTCGATCATCTTCAGTATTTCTTCTGACGTGACATTCTTAAAAGCTTCAGATGGGCTCTGAAGAGCTTCATATTCCGAAGGGGAAAGAACTAGTTACAGGTGAAGAATACAATCTGACCAAAAATGGAAACTTCCAACTAGCTCGATCAACCCGTTGCAGCCTCATTTTAGAAGAGAAAACTGAGGCTGAGAGAAAAGAGCACTCAGTATATGAGCAGGGCTCAGGGAGTCTCAGGGACTCGGCTGGCCAGACTCCCAGCCCAGACCTCCTTCCTGGCCTGTGCTTTTTTGCCTTCTCTTATCACAAAGCCGCTGCCAGGCACTTTCCATCTGACTAGACCCACAAGTAGGGACATTCTATGTTCTAACCCTTCCTTTTACAAAATCAGTCTGTCCTAGCACTTGGACAGGGGTAGAGGTAAGTGTCATATTTTGACCTTTTTTTTTTTTCCCCTATTCAAGGGTGGGGGGTGTGACCTTCCTGGGGCTGAGCAGTAGGCATCTGGTATTTTGCTGCAAAAAGATTTGAGTTGCACACTCTAAAGCTATCTGCAGCCACTGAAGCACCAGTTCAATCTCTGCACATGGTGCAGCAGACCTCTTCCTGTCCCACTCACTACTCCCCTCAACAGTGTATTTCAGTCAATCTCCCCACTCTGTCTCTGGTAAATCCTCTCACCCCCACATCTCTGCCCTATACCCCAGTTCTTGTATTCATAAATAAATACAATAAATAAATCTTAAAAAAAAAAAAGACTTGAGTTGCAGGTGCTAAAAAGCTGGTGCTGGAACAGGTCCCAGCCAAAGGAAGCCTAGCTCACAGCCCAGGAGGAGCAGGGCTCTAGACACAGCTTCTGTGAATGTCACAGGGCCACTGGTACTTGCAAAGTCTGGGCCACTAGTGTGTGAGCACCCTAACTTAGGAAAGCAGCTTTTCTAATGCAAGAAGGATACGGTCTTCAAATTTATACACGTCTTCAGGCTTGGCTGCATCAGCGTGACAGGGAGGGAGGTAGACGGAGTCATCTTGTGAATCATCCTGGATGGCATCACTGACCAGAGCTTTTCAACACAGGAAAAGTCAGTGTCAGAGTGGCTTCTGATTCTCCAACACTCTTTGTAAGCAATACACTGAGATCACAACCGATCCAGAAAACCCCTAATACAAATGTGTCTGTCTGTGAGGCCCAACTGCCCCAGCAGGCTGCCAGCTCCAGAGCTATGATGTCTACTCATGACACTCTTGGGAAGGCACCTACTGCACTGTCCCCCGAAGGAATCTTGCATTACAGTTTGGAGAGTCACGTGTGCTTATAAACATTTACAAGACAGTAACAGAGAAATTAAAAATAAGGGATATCAAAAAGCCTCTAATGGTTTAACTTGAGAAAACTTTTCCACGTACTAGGGAGAAACAGAAAAATATCCATATAACCACAGGGTATGGAGTTCCTAAAAATTACTAAAACTCCCTTTTAACAGAAACAACACAAATCCTACATGCCTGATCTCATTTTAAATTAAACAATAAATACATTTTTAAATAAGACAAATATTCATGGGGAGTTGGGGGGGGGGAGCTTGTGAGCTTTTGAAGTAGACAAAAAAATCTGCTCTCCTGAGGACAAACACCGCCTCTGGAGGCTCAGTTCATCATGGTCACAGCAGTATCTTGGGCCTTCTCCTTCCTCTGGCCCCGCAGCCTCGAGCCCAGGCACCAAGGACATGTGCATATATACATGTTCCCCAGTCTGTCTCCTCTAGCTGGCTGCAAGCTCAGGGAGCAGCTGTTCTTACAGCCTCTGTTCCCGAGGAGGCCCTCAGCAAGAGGCAGGAAGGAATCTAATTCCCATCACTTCCACCTGTGGAGTGGGAAAAGTTCTGAGAGGAGAAAGCTACTTTAGGAACCAATTCTTGCCCCAAGACTTCCTTACCAGTTACACCCTTTGTATCGATGATACTCTCTGCTGCTTTAGCAACTGCGCGGTTCAAAGAGTCACTGCCAACACTGTTCATCCTCCTGGAGTTCAGCGCCCGCTTCTGTTTGGTGGTACCAAAGGCTTCAATGCAAGAGTCCATCTGTGCAAAAGACAAACTGGGTTACTGGGAGGCCCTGCTCCTCCCAGTTGTGTGACTCCAGAGAGACTCTAGGCTTCTATGAGACATTCTCTCACCTCTAAGTCAGGCTGAATCCTGCCTATCTACTTCATAGGCCTGCTGTAAGAACCAAATGATATAAACAGATTCACTGCAAACTTTACAAATTGTAAAGATCTATTTGTAAGTCAACAGTATCTCCACCGATAATAGAAAAACTCGACTACAATTAAGGTTGGTAGAACTACAGGCCACAGTTTACTGTTCCCCTATCCTATATCCACAGCAGACACTGGGAAGTCCCTCTGCGTCTAAAGGTAGCCTCACACCTCTTCTCAAGACAGAGGTCCAGGCAGTGCTGAAGAGTCAATCAAAAATTTGCCATCCTGGGATGAAATGACCTTGGTAGGAACCTTCTCTACTGAAAAATTCTAAAGTTTACTTTTACAAGATAGTTTACAGGTGACAGCCAATATTCTGCAATACTGACCTAAATCTTCGAAGCAAGTGTTAGCCTACACCGGTTATCAGTTCAGGAACTGGTGCCAAACCTCATCATGGTCGCTACAGAGAACCACAGGAATGCACTAGAGCAGCCAGGCAGACCCTGCATTCCATCAGCTCATTTTACTGATGGACCAACCTAAGCTTTTGAAGGGATTTTGCTAAAGGCCCCACGATTTAGTTCTGTCACACTTACCTTTTCTCTGAAAGTTTTGGTCTGATTCTCTGTAGATTCACTCTCCACTGATTCATCTATGAGAACAAAACACAAAAATACAGAAAAGAAAGCAAACTGTAAGACCTGCAAATACTAACAGCATTTATGTTTTTCAGATAATCTAAGAAAAACAGGCATCTTTCCACAGAGCCTCCCAGAGCTTAACATGTGTACTGTGAACACTCAGTCAATTAACTTTAGTATGTAGTCAGAGATAAATTAAGAAGTCAAATAAGGGGCTATCTGTTGCTACCTCAACATTTTGCAAATCACAAAAATGAGCCTCCAGATGAAATGACTTGTCCCAGGCAGTTTATTAGGCAGTGACAGACACATTTAAGTCCTCAACAACTTCTGATAAAGCTTTGCTCTCCTAGTAAAGACCTAAAAACAAGCCTAAATATGATGTATCATTTACACAAGCTTCTCCAACCTCCATTAGGTGTTCACAAAGGGCCAGTCTTATCTAGTAGACAGATCGACTTCACCGAAATTTAAATCCCAGGCTCATGTAAAACAAGCAGTATGTCCCTGCTGAAGAATTCACCTTGGTGCCAAACTCATCTTTAATAAAAAAGGAACAACACTACCACTGAGGGTTGCTCTGGGAGTGTTGTGGTGCACTGAGGGGTATTGAAAGTACTGAGATCAGGGCTTCGCAAGAAACGAGGACCCAATACGTGTTTGTATGAATGCACACAATGACTAGAATAAACCAGCATTTGCAAATTTTTTTTACATATAAAAACAAACTGTGCTTAATTAGCAAATCAGTGAATACTTTTCTCTGGTCTTCTAAATACAACATTTGGCAGATAATTTAAATGTAGTTATTTGTTTGCAAAACAGGGAATTCTTGCCCTAGAAACTAAGGACCTACCTGTAAGAAAGTCTGATGGATGGGTTTTGGAACTCAAGAGTCTTTTAAAACTAGAGGCAAAAACTCCTATTTTTTATATATTAGGTATGTTTCTGGAAGGTCCCAGTGCTTCTCAGATTCTTGAAAGGAATAGCACCACTGCTTTGAAATACAGTCGAAGTTAATAACGAAAACCTCTGGGGGTAGCAGTAGATTTGGTCACCTTCCCTACCCTACACCCTCCAGCCATGGTTCTCAGTATTAAAGGTACAGGAATAGGAAGGAGTCCCTATTATTTCAGAAGAGCCCACTCTAGCCCTGAACAATCTAAGGTCCCAATGCAGAGAAGCAATGCAACTTCTCTCACTGTACTAGGGGAAAAAATAGAAGCCCTCCCAAATTAGATGTGCTTTCATCACCCTGGAAGTTATTGTCCAACCTAGGAGCAACTTCCACTGCCTACCAGAGAGTCTAAAAATGCTACTTCAACAGCTAATGCCTAAAAAAGGCCTCTGATGGGAAAGAATGCCAGACATGCCCTCAATATTCGGCTCTGGTCATGTTCACTTACTTTAACTACAATTCACTTCTGATCACAAGTCTGCAAATGCTGTGGAGATAGATCTGTGTCTGCTTTACTTACTACTATAAGAAGAGCTCCTAATTTGTGCCTGGTGTACAGCAGGTTGTCACCCGGTATCCTAAAAGCTTTCAAATGAAAATGACAGTAACAACAGACCCGGCTGGAAAACATCACTTTAGAAATAACTACAAATTGTGCTTCACAAAACAAAAATTCACATAAGCTCCTCCAGGAAACCTAAAATACAGTGTCTCACTGAGCCTTCAGTTTGGGACCTACCTGAAAACAGAGGCTGCATGTTGAACAATTCAGCATCATACACTTCCATTTGACCAGAGGTCTTATTCAAAATTCCCACAAAGTGCCTTAATACAGAAGAGATAACACCAAAGACAATAGATTATTCAAAAGACAGTTTATATAGTTTCCTTTTCCTTCTTTAAAAGTTCTCAATCTTCTTACAGCCCCCTTCATGACTGAGGAATGAATGGTATCACGCTCATGAGTAACAATTACCACTCCCCCTCCCACCTTACCAGCATACACAGCAGCATTTTGGTGGGGGTAGGAAATAGAAGGGCTCTCTGGTGAATCCTCTCACCACCCCTGCACCTCTGGCCTATACCCCAGAAAAAAAAAAAAGAAAGAAACAGGAAGGGAAGAAAAGGACATGTGAGGTTGTTGGGGGTGAGGAGAACCAACCAGGTGATTCTGGTAGCCGACCACATCTGGGCTCACTGCTGTAATGGGGAACCCTTTTGGGATGTGAGAACCTAGAATTACACTAGAATTTATTTCACACATAAATTTCATGGCAGTAAAGACAAGTGAAACCTTGGTTAAGTATAGGGAGAAGGCCAGTCTGATCTAGAGTTTCTGCCAGGAATGATGCAGTGTTAGGAGGGCTCCCAAAAAGTCTTGTTTGAGGTTCACTGTTAGGTATCATCACAGAGACACTCTGCACTAAGCCAGACCCTATAGTTAGAGACTGTTCAGGCTGGACAATCTTCACTGTACCAAGGGGATGAAGGGAGCGAGGAAGGACAATGAAGGTAAGGTCACTCAGCGAGCCAGTGGAAAGCTGGACAGAAAGCCCAGGCTGCTCTCTCTAAGAGAGTGGTGGAGTCTTTGACACCACCAACTCTTTCCTTGTAGTCAGTTCTAAGGCACACTGCAGGCACATCCTGGCCTGCTCATTCCATATTCCAAATTACTGGAGGTATATGGAGAAACCAAAGACAAACTTTAAAAACAACTCTTGACACACGGGACTATGGTGGTGGCACAGGGGTGATTTGGTGATGGGAAACCCGTGGGGATTACAATTGAGATGAAAAAAAAATGTGCAAAATGATGTAAAAATAAACTTTTTAATAAAAAAAAAAACAACTCTTGACAACTGACTATAGTTCTGAGGTATCAGGAAAGGAGGAGTAGAGAAGGTGAGAAAACAGTTATTGGGGGTTAGAGTGGGGGTGGGAGAGCACAATGCAAAATGGTGGAGGACTATGGGTGTTTTGGTGGTGGGAAAATTATGGTAACCACACCTGAGGCAAGAAATCCTGTATTGTGAAAAAATACACAAGAATGATGCAAAGGTGTATCACATCAAAAAAAAAAAAAACAAAATAAGTTACTGGAGACAACTGCCTTCTGGTAACTGGACAGATGCAAACAGGAATATTACATATTAGTGAGGAATTTAGAAAAACTGAACAAATAAGTTATTTTTCTTTCCTGTATGTCCACAGTGTGGTATGAGGCCTCCGGGTCTGGAAACACAGGGGCCCGATACACCTCACTAGAATCTCCCGCTGACTACAAAATAAGACTGAGAACAGCAGTGCTAAGGCCACCACCACTACCCTCCCATTCCCCACTGTCTCTTGCACAGTGTTGCATTTGCTACCTGCACAGAGTGTTGCATTTGAGGGCTCCAGTCCCAAAATTGTTTCCCACGTAGGAAAGTCTATCTGTTTCAGCTGCCTAAAATGTAAAGAGGGAAAAGCTGCATTTACAACCAATATTGAAAGGCATTAAACATCTCACCTTTTTTACATATGCAAAAGCTTAAGCATCTAGAACCATGGTAGATTCAAACAAGATAATCCAGCTCCACTATAGCTAAGTCAAACTGGGTGTCTCTGGGAAAAAGGTGTAAGGACATTTGAAAGGGAAGCCCCAGACAACGCTGTCTTCTAGGTGGTAAGAAAAGTCCTTTGGTGGCACAAGGGCTTAAGACACAGCACTATGAAGCTAACAGCAGCCACTGCCGCCTAAGTTTGGTCCCCGGCCAGGGAGTGACCCACATGGCATGGCAGACCTCTCCAATCTCTCTGACTGCTCCCCTTCACAGTGTATTTCAGTAGATCTGCCTGTTCTGCTCTCTACTCTGGTGAATCTCTCACCCCCTGCACCTCTGATCTGTTCTTCAAATGAATACTAAGCCTCGGCTGTCAAGTGTTCCCCATCCTATAGGGCTCAGCTCCAATGCACCTTCCCCAGGATGGCAATCAAGTAAGCAGCACCTTCTCCCACTGACCTCATTCGGTCATGCCGGTACTCATTTTCTCTGGGGCCCTGAGCTTTGTCTAATTGTATGGCCCACATCCATCAAACCCAAGGGGTTTGATGATCCATTAAACCCATCAAACCCCTAAGACTTGCAAAGTGGAGGCAACTGGCCTCTGCAGCACTTACCAGGATCCGCTGACTCCTCTTCCTAGGGTTTGTGGAGTCGCTGCTCTTGTACAAGGTAAAGCGCATATTGCCTGGATTTTGCAGCTTCCCATTGGAGAACTGGACTGTAAGATTACAACACAAGAATGAGTTGAGAGCAGAAAGATCCACTGTACGGTGAGAAGGAATTGTATTATCGTTGGGAGAGAGTGACTGTATGATGGCGATGGCAAAGAAGTCCGGGATCCTTGACCTAAAGAGGTTCTGAAGGAAGTCCTGGTGCAGTTGGGAAGAGAGAATGGGGAAGTGAGGGGAGTCTGAGGGAGAAGCTGTGACTGGCAAGCAAGACTAGGGACATGGGGCTGACAACAGCGGTCAAGAGAAACAGAAAACCCCTGCCTAGTGGAGAAGAGGGACAGGTTGGCCACCTGGCAGGCGAAGGATGACAGGATCTCGGGTACAGTCCTGGAGTGGGGACAACTGAGGTCCCCCCATCCAGCTGGGAAGTGGTGGTTAAGACGGGATGAAAACGCCCTTGCCGAGCCCCAAGTGGTGCTGGCGACTGGAGGGGAGCAGTCCTGGAGCAGCTAGGGAACCGGTTGGAGGGGGCGAAAGGGCTGTAGAGGTAACGAGACGAAAGGTACGGTTAGGGCGGGGTATTTTCCAACTCCGCAGCTTTTACCCAGTACAGCTCTCTGGCTTTTGTCCGGCTCCCCACAATACTGCCACCTCGCGCTGGGCAACAACTGCGCCGCCATCCCGTTCGTCTAGACGCCAAGACCAGGAGTCCGGAAGCAGCAGCCACGAGCGAACTTGTTATCACGCGGGAGAGCAGGTAGCGCGGCCAACAGGAAGAGGCGTGTTCTCGCCCGGCGCACGAACACACGTGGCCACGCTACATCCGCCCTTTCCGCCCCCTTCCTTACTCGCTAGCTGGGTCACTAGAGGAGCGAACACCCGCCCACTCTTCGCCCCGCCCCTTCGCGCAGTAAGGCGTGGTCTCCGCCCATACTGTGCTCCACCCCCTCCGTGGTCGCCTCTTTCAGGCGTGCACCTGATTGGCCCAGCGCTTATGGAGGTGTGGCTCTGAGGGTTTACGCTTTGTAAGCCCTGCAACTTGAACTTGACTTTTCTGTAAGTTTTCCCTGCACTGCACTGTCTGACCAAAGTATGGGTACAAATACAGCCATGGAGATCCAATCCTGAAATCTAAGCTTCGTCCACAACCCTGTAAATAGCCCCCGCCATTATCAGTTCTCCGGCCTAGACCTGTGGCCCTATCAATTCTGGGAGGATGGACCAGGGGAGAGATCCACCAGAATCAAGGGCGTTTGGGCCCGATCTGATGGATATGTCTGTCTGCTCCCTCAACGTGGAAGCAGGAGGAAGGCCACAGTCCTTTAAGCCCACTTTAATAAGTTCACCGATTACCCTATAGCAAATCATAAGTCCAGAATCGCATTTAGTTGTAAGCTTTTTAGTCTCCTTCAACCTGAAACAGTTCCTCACTCTTACTTTGACTTTCAATTTAAATGTTAGTTACAGGCCATTTGTTCTGTAGACTATCCCTCAATCAGTATTTATCTACTATTTCCAAGTGATTAGTTTCAGGTTATACAACTTTGGCAGGAAAATCGCCGATATGGTGCTTTTATCTCTGTATCCTATCAGGATATATATATCCAACATACATACATACTTTCAGAACTAAAAGTGAGTTAATAATATTGGTGATTCGTTTCTAAAATTTAGGATTTCTAAATACATGTATACATAAAACCATGAGTACACAATGACCTCTAATTCCAACCTAGCACCACAAGGTTCATTCTTCTTTATCTTCAGGTGGAGGAGTAAAGAGTATCAGACATGAACTGAGACACAAACTTCCAGAATTAGCACTGAAAAGAACTTAAAGTTACAGAAGTTCTGTCTGGGGAGGGGAAGTGTTAGGGCCAGGCACTCCTATATTATTTAAATTAACTATTTAACAATGATTCCAAACACACATTCCATATATATATATATACATGTTTATATAACTGGTGTGGGAGCAAGATGGATGTAGTCGGTATTCACAAAGTAACCAAATGTAAAAAGCTATAGGGACTTTTTCTAAATTAGAATAGGGGATAATCACAGGCAGAATTTACCATAAATGCTTGTTTATAAATTTAGTTTGGAAATTCAGAGACTTCTGAAGTTGTTTTGGTATCATTTTTCAGAGGAGGAAAATGGCATTTTGAGAGTAAGGAGTGGGGAGAGGCATTGTACTCCTTTCTTGGGGTAATATCTCCATCTGCTGGTGTTTTAGGATATAGCTAATGAAGACCTGAAAAGGCAGGTCAGATTCTACCTTGTGTTGGCAGTAACTCAGCATACTTTCAAAACCATTTCTTCTGCCTCTCCATTGCTCTTTATTTCTTTGCTTCTGCCTCTTACCCCCTTCCCTTTTTCTCTGTCTCACTCTCTCTTGATGCAGAATCCTCTTATATACCTATAGACACTGATAATCATTCCTATAAGGCAGATACTTCACCTTGAACAGGTCCCACAGAGCTGTCTTCTGTAGCGTCTTCTTGTAGTTCCTGTTCTGCTTGCGAATGTCACACAGAAGACAATCACCTCCTCTGCTCTGAGTCCTTTAAAAGCCTGAATACTTTGCCCTTGTATTTACCTACTCCTCTTCTCACCAGCTCCTTGGCCTCAGACATCAACATTTACAGGTCTCTCTTGACACTGACCTATCTATCCACCACTGCTGGACACAGAGCAGTATGTCTACATCCTTCTCACACATGTTAGGTCTGGGTCAATACTTGAGCTTTGAGCTGTGTGGCACAGAAGGAGAGAGGATCCCTGTGCTTCACGCCATGCCTCTCCTAAGGAAACCAAAATGTGCATTTATTCTAAGCACCAATATGTTAATTTATTTGGAGTTAATGATAAATAAATGTTTTGACTTGGTTTCTGCTAAGTCACATCCTGGCCTGCAACATGGTTGGTTTTTTTTACAGTTCTTAAGAGTCCTAATAAGAAGAACGAAGGGGAAGAGAAGGAAAAATGCGACGAGATGCAACAGAGACCATAGATGGTTGGCAGCCTAAAATACCAGCTATCTCTTTACAGAAATGTTTGCTGATCCCTGCTAAAAGGTTTACAACATGCATTTCACTTTTTTAAAGTGAAATAACATTTTTAACTGCGATAACAGTGTTTACAACACTGTGTATGTTTTATGAGTACAGGGCCACCACCAAGGTACCAAAAACCCCTCCACCACACTCACTGGACCCTGTCCACCCATCAGTCCCACCCTGCCACCCCTCTGGTAATCTCAGTTTTTCAGTAAAATCTGAGGATTTCTTTTGACTTACCTATTCCTTTGCTTTGTTTCTTTATTTTGCATATATGAGTGAAATTCCATATTTATCGTTCTCATTTTATGTAGCCTAATTGCCTCCAGTTCTATCTCTGTTGTTGCAAATGGCAAGACTACATTTTTTACTTAGCATTCCATTACAGAATATATGCTGAATACTGTACATATATACTATTTATATATAACACACATATATGTGTATCTCATATCTTCTTTATCCAGTCATCCATCAATATATATTTAGGTTGTTTTCAGACACTGTAGTCATTATAAATAGCACTATGATGAATAGGAGTACATCTATCTTCAAATTAGATTTTATATTTTTCAGATAGACATCTAGAAGTGGAATTGCTGGATCAGATGGTAATTTCATTTTTAATTTTTTGAGGTACTGTCATAGCGACAGTAAGAGGAATTCCTACCAACAGCATTCATGTTAGTAAGGTTCAGAGTTGAACCTGGTGCACTGAATGCCTGCCAGAAGCAGCTATGCCTTGTCAGTGATGGGGATTTGCAAAAGGAACTCACCCTCTGGTTGGATCCCTGTGAGGTGGGCTACTGGAGAGAAAAACAAAGACTTCTTACTGCCAACTTGGAAAATGAGGATGAGAACAAAGGCAAAAAGAATGTGTATGTTATTTGTGTTGTATAGAGTGTTCTGTATATACCTCTTAGATATAATTGATGAACTGTGTTGTTTAATTCGGCTATTTCTTTACTTGTCTTTGGTTTCATTGTTCTATACATTATTGAGCATGGATTATTGAAGTCACCAACTATTATTGTAGAACTACTTTTCCTTCAATTCTGTCAGGTTTTTGCTTCAAAAACCTCCGAAGTCACTTCAACTGCAGGTGGAAGTCTCAGATTAATGGGCGGGGTTGGGGAGAGGTATGATAACAATGGCTGCTGACTCTTCGTCTACACCTCTCTGATCACAAATGGCAATCAAGGTGCCTTATATTTGGAGGACAGGGCCTTTTTAGCCCACCCTGATTCCCATAAGCTGGTGCAAGCTATTCCAGGAATCTATGCATATGAACCTGTCATGTGGCTGAGGGTTAGGCTTGGGTAAGCTAAGAAACCAAAGTTAATTACAATTTACCATCCAAGCTTTTCCCTGGTAGTTATAAATTTTCAATAGACCTGAGATTCAAGATATTTACTTGTATTACACAGATTCTACCAGTGTGATTGTTGTCTAAATGGGGAGACAGATTCTTGGCACTTTCGATTCTGTCAACTTCCAAGAATCCTCTCTCCCAGTTTAAAATAAAAATAAAGAATTATGAAATGTATTTTTTAAATATTTATTTATTTATGCATACAGAACTGGGGTACAGGCCAGTTAAGTTCCATGTAAGAGCTATACAATATCAGGAAATCTTAATGGACAGACTTCACCTGATCAGACTTCATTGACGTCTTAAGGAAATAACCCCCAGGGACATTTCTAACATGTAAAGGCTGAAGGGAGTAGAATCAATTGTAACGGCATTTGGTTGTTAAATTCTAAAGCATTTCCGCTCCATTTGGTAAAGACAGCCTCTTCCCCGCCTCCCCAAACCCTGTCCCCGATACACACACCCTAAAACAGATGCCAGAGCGTTGTCCAGCCTGACAATTCCGGTGCCATTCCTGGACAGCTCCCGCCCGGTAGGCCCCTGGCAAACCTGCTCCTCTTCTCAGGAGGAAGGTGGGCGTCTTCCTTGCCCTAGGACGCGGCAGCCTCCAAGGGGGGGGGGGGGGGGGGGCGGGATCGGGTCTGCTTCTGGATTGGGGCTCTGAAACCAGGCACACACCCGGGAGCCTAACACGCCTCGGTGCTTGCTCTTTGCTGACAGTTTCCTATAAGAGCTCACGATCCTTCCACGTTTCCGATTTTGTATTTTGGGAGGGTGATTCTGGAGACTCGTTTAACCTACCACCCAGACTGCTGAGGGAAATGAGAATCGAAAGCCGGGAGCGCGCCTGCCGGACTCCTCAGATACCAGCACTCTGAACCGCAGTCTCCTGGACTGTCCGAGCCAACTGTCAGTCCTCAGATCGCATTTTTGGTTGATCATTTTTAGCCAGGATTTTGGCTAATAGAACCTAGACAACTTGAAGTTTATTTTTTCTAAAGTCTACGAGGTCAAAACTGAACCTCTGATTTCGCGTGTGCAGGTCCCGCGCAGAGAACTTGTTTGGGGAGGGAGGGGGTGGTTCATCGAGAGGACGAGAGCCCCGAGGGTGGGAAAGTCTTTCAGGCTCAGCCAATGCTGATGGTTCACAGATTAAAGACAGTTGTGCTTGTGATTGGTGGAATTAGGCGGAAAAACCGCTTTTCTCAGCTATAATGGTTCTTGATTGGCTATGGCATGCAGTCGCTTTTCTCTAGTTCAAACCGCTCGGCGATAAATCCCGCCTTAAAAGGCGTTTGATAACAGGTTTACGTGTTGTAAAACCAACCGTGATTGG